TCCACCTCAACCAATAGATGAAGGTTGTGTAATATAATGAATTGGTAAAGGTTACATACTAATACCATCGAGTACCTGCTCATTGGTCTAGGGGTTACGCATGTGAGTGCGAGATTGAAGGTCCTAGGTTTGGTTCCTGTTTGTAGGTTCTGTGATTCGCTCTCCTACAGAGTCCTATACTAGAAAGAAGCTTACATCTAGTGGTTCTAGGTTTTTAATTGGAGTTTAGTTGAAATCAGCTTATGATTTAAACTGTAAAATTTTTTCATGAGCAATGCCTAATCGTTAATATTCACTGATTCTCCAGAGCTTTCTTCATCGAAATTCATTCATTTAAAGCTGTCATTAATCATTATCAACACATTTCACTTTAATCAATGATGACTGAGTTTTGCTCTCACACTCTTTTATATTATTTTATCAGGAATATGATTTGTATCACACATGTACATTTATACAAATTACCAATTATTTCATAATATCTATAATTTAATTAGTATTGTATTTCTCTCATTCATACAAGTGAATAATATCAAAACGTTTCAGATTTTACAATAGACTTATTACTTGAACATGATAATGTAATCAGTTTCTATATGTTTTTAATAATAATAAAAGTAATAATATTTGTATTCTATGTTTTTCTACTGGTCAATAATTATCCAACCAATTGATGTGAATTAATTAATTAATTTTTTAAAATTAAATTAATAAATAATATGATTGATTGTTATTATCATACATGAAACTGATTATATAATTTAAGGGAAATTAGGGAATAGGAATTGTTTTACAAAAATTGTTATATTATATTGTCAAAAACAAAAAAAAAGAATTATGATCTAGCATGTATGTGTTTCAACGTTTCCTTATTTATCGTGTATTATCTATATTGAAGTAATTATGTTGTTCATTAGTTGTTTTGTAAAATATACTATTCCGCATTCCTTAATATATTTTTTTAAAGGTGTAAACATGAAATATTGTTTTTAGTAATATAATATTGATTTAAAAAAAGATAGTAAAATGAAGGTTTTGTCTAAACTAGTTAAGTGTTATGTCACTAGTCTACATAAATTCTATTCTTGATTTATATTGTATTTATATTCAGTTGATGAGATGATTCTTTTTTTTTTGAAGTGAATAATTTTATACTCATAATGTGATGCTTAAAGTAATACAAACAGAATTCTGAAAAAAATATATGAGTAGTTGGAACGATCTAGTAAACCTTTTAACTGTATATCTTCTGACTGAAAAAAATTGCTTATGAGTTAAACCATGAGTGATAATTAGAGCGTACTTAGATGTTAATTTATACTATCCTAGTAATTATAATGTGAATAATATGAATGACTGGGGAATAAATCATACTGCACTATGTATCAGTTTCTGTATGTTCATCTTGAACCATGAATTTGTTTTTGAAATATGTAGTTTTTCCATACATATTGTGAAAATGGTTATGGATTACTCCCATAATATTTCTGATAATTTTCCAAACAGATCACTTTGTAATTATCATCGTTCTAATAAGTGTTTCTCATATATGGATACATATATTAAAAATTGTTTTTCACTTAATTGTTTTTTAATAACAATTACAAAGGAAATAAACTACAAAATGCATGTAATTTTTTGTCACATTGTAATTACAATCCAATTAGTAGTAAATGGATTGAACGAATAACTACGGATGCTACAAGTAAATGATTCTTCTTGTAATAAGTATAATTATAATCATCGACAATAATCATGTTAGTATCATTAGTAAATCTATTATTGTTAGTTTAATTATTACCTCATATAATGGTAAGAAAATAGATATTATTATTTAGTTTATCATTCCCGTTTGTTTTTGTGCAAATATTCTGTTGGTTTAATATTAATTGCTTATTATTGTGACTGTATGAACTGATAACCTTGGGTAACCTGGTCCTTGATATTCCACGATTATTCTGGACACCACAAATTTAACTTAGAGATAAATAGTGGGCAAGGAAATAGCCTATTTAAGTAAAATGCCTTATCTACTATTTGGTATGGAGTATTATTCTTCTGTAATATTCGTAACTTAAAAAAATGTATAAATAAGACAGGGTTAATTCAAATGAAAAAATTACTATAAATTTTCAACATACAGACTGTAACTGAGTATGAACAGATTTCTGCAAGATTTAAAGGTATCTGAATGCACACTGTAATCGTTACAATAAACTGTTACAAGTATTTTTTGTGATAGTAATAGACTTCATGTGATGACATAACTAGAAATCGGTCACAATATTACTAGACTCCATCATCCTTAACTTTGTAATATGCTGTCGTGCTTATTTTAGATAACTTTTCTGCTCATTTTAATGATTTTTACTTGCATATTATGTGCTGTTTATAAGTACTATAATTTTAATTAACTATCTGTTATAAAACATACCATCTTGCCATTTTTTTGGCTAAAAAGTGAACAAAAATTTATATACATAGTTTCTGTTTTCACCTCGCCCGTCGTGTCACCTTATGGTTCGATTTTAAAAACGACCTATAAATTGTTTTATACTGGTGTACTTGAAAAACAAATTTGTCACACTTTTAAAGTGAATGAACAAAGACAATAAATATGATACAAGTGAAAGGTTGAAAGAAAAGATATAGCTAAGCAGCAACGAAAAAAAACAACTAATAATGAACGTTTCATAGAGAGTCTTAATGGTAACTAACTGGTACATTTAAAAAATAGATAACCTGAGTAGTTATAATTATTATTCATAGAAATTCTAGTTGTGAATTAGATGTCTGTAGAATGAAACTTTGAACTGCTAACTTTAAAAAAAACATTGTAAATTTTAATATTTCTGTATAAAATATCCAATATTAAGAAATCATATGGAAATAATGAAATACGTCAAGATGTGAGTGAGGTGTTTTAAGACCATAATTGGGTATTTTATTTGTTAGTTATCACTATTCAAATGAATCTTTATGTAGAAATCCAGTGATTATCTTTATTTCTTTTATCTTTAGTCACTTTTAAAGTTATTCTTTCGTACATTCACTTGGTATTGTACTTTCCCATTGAGGTTTAAGACTGCAGTGGATCAGTCTGTTATTGGCATATGTGCATACTGTGCGTATGCCTCGATATTGCCTAAATTCACAAGCCTTTTGTAAGTAATGATGGAAGATACAAGCCAAACAACACCAAGTGAATTTAACTTCACCCGATTACACAAGCAACTGGCTATCAGGACTCAGTGGATAACGCGATGGCGTTTGAAGCGAATGGTACTGGGTTCAAGTCCCAGAGTGAACATCAACTCTGAGATGCAGGTATATCCAGCTGACGAGTCCCGAATATGAAGAAACGCGCGTCCTGGATTCCACTGCTAGCCGTTATTCTTTTTTACGTCTACAAATTTTAATGTGAAAGGATGATAATTCACTTCATAAGATTAATCTAAAGTAATCACAATTCAAAGTAAACATTAGAATAGTGTCTTAAAAATTTCTAAATATAAATTTACTTTTTAGCAATTATCATGCATGCTCCCAAGGAATCGTCTCAATATTTTCTTGTGTTGAATTTTGCACGCTTTATTTTAAAATAGAATTCTACCTACCTAACTTATTAATAAAATTTGTACAGAATCTTTGAAATTTACATGTAACTAACATTTGTTTGCCTATGTTATTGGTATAATGATTATCAAATATACTGGACTGTTTAGGTATTTGCGGATTGAACTGACGGTCAGCTAATGTGGAATAGTTATTTTCGTTGAATCTGTTGAAAAACACATTTTACTTACTGTCTGAGTTATTTGGTATACCGATTTGGTAATAACCCATGAGTAATTTCATGCTAATTGAAATCTATGAAAACTTAGAAAGAAAATTATGTAAAGCAGACGCTTCAGTATAATTACTCTTGACTGTGTAAACTATTCCGGTTGGCGTTTTTTTCTACGGGATGGGGTCGCTAACCACATACCCAACCTCCCTTTTTATCCGGGTCTGAAACCGGCAGTAATTTCAGAAGGGCTCCAACGTAGCAGTAGTAGGTCTCAACATACACAAAAGGAAAAGCAGGGTTCTCCGATACAACACAGTATGCACCAATCGAATCAAAATTGACGGAGAATCTTTGGACGATGTAAAAACCTTTACATATCTGGGCAGCATCATTGATTAACGTGATGGATCTGATGCAGATGTGAAAGCGCTGATCGGCAAAGTAAGAACATCATATCTACAACTGAAGAACATATGGAACTCAAAACAACTGTCAACCACCATCAAAATCAGGATTTTCAATACGAACGTCAAGACAGTCCAACTGTATGGAGATGAAACGTGGAGAACTACTACAACCATCATCAAGAAGGTACAAGTGTTTATAAATGGTTGTCTACGCAAGATACTCAACATCCATTCACCAGATATCATTAGCAGCATCATTCTGTGAGAGAGGAAAATCCGGCTTCCAGCTGAAGAGGAAATTAGAAAAAGACTTTGGAATTGGATAGAACTTACATTACGGAAATCACCAAACTACATCATGAGTCAAGCCCTAACTTGGAATCTTGAAGGGAAACGGAAAAGAGGAAGGTCAAAGTACACACCACGTTGAGAATCGGAAGCACATTTGGAAAGGATGAATAACAACTGGAAACGTTTGCCCATGACAGAGTTCGATGGAGAATTCTGGTTAGTGGCCTATGCTCCCCATGAGGGGTAACATGCGTGAGTAAGTAAGTAATTACGAATATTATCCAATAACCAGTTTTCTCTCATAATCCTAACAAAAATAATATATATATATATATATATATATATATATATATATATATATATATATATAGACGAAATATGCAATCCTAAGTAGCGTTGTCCGAAATTCTCTTTAAATTTATGTTTAGTGAAATTTTTTGCTATGTTTTTATGTATAATACCACACGTAATTTTTTGTAATATTTTTTCTTCCGTTTTTACCATCTATATAGTGATGAAGGATTAAGAAAAAAATTCTTTACAGCTCTCGAAGATCTACGAATACATGGACCACCTGGCATATCACGGCATCCAGGACCAAGCCATATAAGCTATCAATGGATTTGTGATATTTGGTTAAAACATCATTTAGGTCTTGTACAACTAGTTCCTATATTTTCAATACGACGTGTGGATGGTCGAATGTTGTCTAGTTTAATCACCTATAAACGTCCAAAACATTCCATCCAGCATAAAAATAGACGAAAAAGTAAAGATAATCATAATTATGATAACGATAATAATTGCTATGATATAATCATTTCTAATCCCAATGATGATATTCCTCTTTCGAATTATTCACAACAGAATCTTATCAATTTAAAAACTAATCAAATTAATGGTAGTAGTAATAATGACAATAATGATAATAATAATGATAATATCAGCAATCATTCAAGTGTTAAAAGTATTTCGTCTGTATCTTCTACAAGCAGCATAACTAACGCTGTACAAGATTCCTGCAGTCATAGTAATAGCAGTAATAAGTATGATAATGGTAATGAATACATGGAACGTAATTGGCAAGTTGCTGGACGTAAAGAAATGTTACATATTTTATTAGGTTTGTCTCATACATCATCATCATCATCGTCGAGTAGTGGTGCAGATTTATCTGTAGATTGTAGATATTTACTTGGCAAAAAAGAGGCTGAAAGTTTACGTACTGCTATTGAATTATTGCATCATCATAATTTTAATATAGAGGTGAGTATTCAGATTTCTGGAATTATACATGTAATAAAACAAATAGATTTCAAATTTTCAATTCAATATGATTTATGTTTGTTTGAGAAAAGTAACAAATCCAATCTATTCATTTTTTTCACCCAGTCGTTTTTAGCTATTTTATGCTTTTCTTGTCTAAATTATTCAAAAGTTAAATGTTAATATGTACTTATTCAAAATACAGTTTACCTAGAAATTATTACTACAAATTATCATTAATTCATTTCAAAACCCAAACGGTAAAATAATCGAATTAGAGGTAGCTGACTGATCGGTAGTAAATACTTTTAAATGTGAAATTTTCCTCCATTATTAAATTTTGCATAATTTCAAAGATTTTAATTATTAAAAAGGTGAGTAAAAGCTATATAGGATAAATGAAGATATACAAATCACAAACAATACACTAGGAAGATGTTTTTACATAATCAAAATCCAAATGAAGTTTCTATTCCAAAACAGTAAGTTTATATAACACATTAATATTTTAAGTGACAATTGAAACTTACAGAGTGCTCGTTTGAGTAACGAAATACAATAGATGTACGTTTGAACTAAGTTATAATCTACAGGAAGGCTAACATTTTTGACTCGGAATTTTATGGTATGACGTGGGTAAACTTAGAGGTTAAATTAAAGAAAGAATCAATCTTAATCAACTAAACTTCTGAACTCTATCATCTGATTAACTTTCTCTCTCTTATGCCTGTGAAATATATATGCGATGTTGTGAAGTGACACAAGTCTAAATAACTATAGAATGACTGTTTTATTTAACTTTGTCTTGCGAAAACGTACCTACATAACGCGAAGATTGATAGAAAATCTCAACACGACAGTCAGTGAATGTCACAACATTTCTTGTCCAGCTTCAGTAGAAAAGTAACTGATAAAAGTTATTGTATATAGTGAAGAAATGAAATAATGGTATATTCGTCTATTCTATTTATAACGATAGAGTTAACCGTGAGTCATAATAAGTTGTATAACATATTCTTAGATAAGTAAAACCTAGCCAAATCGGAAGTATTTAAGGAATCTGAACGTTGTGATAACAAAACCAAATTTAAATTAATTACATTAACTAAATCTTTCAGAAAAAAAAGAACATAAGGAAAATGAATTAAATTAAACATTATACAAGATAACTCATATCCACAATCAATATTTAATAGACCATTCCTAATAATTCCATTGGGAACATACGCTTTTGATTGGTCATTCAATATATAGAAATAATTCGTTTTTAAGTATAGAATGTCAATTAAAATCGATAATAATCCATGTTCTTTTTTTAATATAAAACTTATGAATATATTATTAATATCAATCTATAAATGAAATTTTTTTGGAAATAGTTTAGAAAAATAATTTTATTTCCTGTTTCATAATCTATGGAATGAAAACAACGTATATATATATATATATATATATATATATATATATATATATATATATATGTTTTCTAATTAAAATGACAGTAGAAAACAAATTCGATAGTTACTTACATATTATATTGATCTGAAGATTATATTAAAGAAAACAGTAAATCACTGAGTAATAAACATAAATTTTAAACTGAAAAAAAAGATAAAACTATTTAAAAATAAAAGGAAGTATATCAGTAGTATTATTCCGTTTATCTCGATATTATCATAAAAAGATAATGTGGTTGAAATTTATCTGCAATACAGGTACTGATTTGTCTTGCTTTTATAGAGATTATTTTTAGTTTAAATGTACTTATCTAGTGATAATATACTTCTATCACCTTTAGATTGAACATTTGTAAAATTTTCGGGAAAGTCAACTGTCTAGGTTTGAAGTATAACAACAAATGGTTTAAATAATGTTTACTAATGAAATCATCATTCTTATCGAAATCTTATATTTGTGTATTTTACTCTATGGTACCTTAATAAATAAATTGCTTGTTAAGTAAGACTTCAAAGTTTTGGTTACAAACGACATAGATAAGTGCCATTAAAAAGCCCGAAACTAAGATAAAACATGTACCCAGTACTCTCCATATTTGACTGATTTTCCATCAGACTTCAGCTTATAATTAAGCCTACCTTCGAAATACTTTTTTTTGTTAACAGGAGGTTGACGCGACGAAAACTGTTGATGTATGTTGTTCGTTAATCATAGCCTGTTGTTTGTAGCGTGTTTCCGAAAGAATTTCGGAAACTAGTAAAACAGTACTGTGAAATGAAGTTCATATTTAATGGAAGCTTGTAAATCATGTTTGTTATAATTTTACTATAAATTGCTTATCTTCACTCTATTTATATCCTTTAACGATGAGTCTACTTATTATCATAATACTAATGCCCGTAATGCAGCCACGATATATACCAATATTGATTATTGAGTATGAACTTTCTTGTTTTTAACCAGTTCAATTCAAATGTAAGAATAGTTTGCCGATTTATTTTGTATTATTATGGCTCGAAAACTTACATTATTGTATTCGTCGAACACAAGATCGTAACACATCACAAACAAATCTCAATCCATACAAAACTATGATATATGTTATACAAAATCAAACATGTACAAAATTAATTAGCTAAAATTTATGGACGGTAAAAGATATACCAACAATAGTTAGCGAGGAAAATGAAGGCTTGTGTAGAAGAATCGTAAACCAGTTATTTAATACATAGATAATGAAAATATGTGTAGCAACGTACCAGTAAATATATCCATCTCTTTCATTTATTGGCTTATTTTTAACAATATATTAAAAGCATTATTCTTTTTTACTTCATTAACTATTCAGTTGATAGAACAAATTCGTGCTAAATCTGATCTTTCCGAATTAGATCTTTTGTATTGGACAAATGATCACATTGTTAAGTGGTTATCCGACTTAGGTTTAAGTGTAAGTTTTATTTTCTTTTAATTAATATTTTTTAAAGTATACCAAATTGTCGTTGTGATTAAATCTCATTACTAGGACTACACTGAGGTGATTTTCTAAAGTTATATTCTTTAATATTATCTGTTACTGACATATAAGGTAACCACATCGAACTTTTTTCTTACTATAGGGAAAAACTATTATGCAGCCGGTTTTGAACAGTAATAATTTTGATACTTCACATATATAGATTAAAAAGAGGAATAAAATGTCCTGAATAAAAATGAAACGTTCTTTATCCAACATTAAAATTGCACTTTGTTTAACAGATTACCATGGATAACGACATGATTACCAAGGATTACTTATAAAGTTACCATTTATGACCTGCCTCAAACAACTGTACCTTGAATACTTTGGACACGCTTTGGGGTTAGAAAGGTTACTAATAATCATGTTTTTTTCTTCAGTTGCTTCAAGGAATTTCCTTCCATGATGTAGGAAACCTGAGATCGACAAAAACTCAGTAATCTGTTATAGCGCACGTGATCTTGTTATTTACAATCAAATCCTAAACCTAACTGAACAGTTTATAACATCAAACTTTGTCTAATTTTGAATACAGACCTAACAAAAATTGATCACTAATAATCAGTCTTTAATTAGCAATTAATGATCTACTTAGCACTTTAAATACAAATTTCAATTAGAATTTTGTCAGTGTAAAACATAACCTTTGACAACGTCATTTTTTTTCACTTTTCTGACGGCACCAATTTTAGGGCGTATGTTTTTGGAATGTAGCTGTCTAACAAAGTCTGGACTTACACATTCGGCTGTTTTAGCCACTAAATAATCGCAAATCTGCAATAAATCCTAATTTAATCTTATGCTTGAAAATAGTTTCTTCTTATAAATTTGTATGAAACATTGGTCATCAGCCCACCATGATTGACAAAGTTAACAGATTAACTATGGCATTTATCGCGTTTAACGACTTCCTCATCTGTTGTTCGTTCATGCATTGGAGTGTATTGGTAGTGAAACAACATTTATCATTTGGGAAATAAAACACCCTGAAAGTTTTGGGATGTTCAAACAATTGGTTTGAAGAGAGTATTTTGTGGAAGGTCTGGCATGAAATGACTGTTCAGTTTCCAGAAAGTGAGGAGACATTTGTGTAGATTAACGAAAAACGTTCGATTTGCTAAACGTTTATCACAAATTTGATTAGATAAAAGTTGGTAATCTTAAAAATATCGTTATATATCCACGTCTATAGAGTAGATTTTCTCCCTCACCTTACAAATTGTCACTCATTTACTCTCAATTTCATGGATAATTCAAAACAGTTATCGATTATTATCACTCGACAACTGTCTTGTTTTGAGCTTGCGACTCTTAGAAGATTCGTATAACTGACCATGTAAACTTTTTGAAGTTAGTTTTCATCAGGTACTAGGCTGACTCTGTTCTGTTTCTTCACTTTTGACATAGACATCCAGCTGACAAGCCCCAAATTGGATAAAATGTGCGTTATTGATTCTAATGTCAGCTGCATCTCAAATATACCGAAAACACTTGTGACTAAAAGGTAATATTCAAACAATCTTTTTAGGGTGCAGACGTACCAATAAAGGCTGAATAATTCCACTTACAAGCCTTGAAGAAAAGTAAAAACAATGTATTGATTGCTTAAACCTTCCCATTGATGTTTAGGACTACAAGTGATCAGTCTTTTATTGATATGAATGCATCCTGTGTGGATTGCCTCGATATTGTCTTAATTCACAAGCACTATAAGCTGAGACAATGGCTCTAAATAGGATGAAACGCACGTCATGGATACCATTGTTAGCTATCGTTATTTCAACTTGTAAACTACAATGTTTGGTATTATTTTGTGTTATAATTATTATCATATGTTAAGCAAAACTTTAAAAATCTATGATCAATGATTTTATTATTACGTTCCAATTAGGCATGATTTGAACATATTACTTTAAATTATAAATTGATATCAAGAAATCATACATTACACTTTTAACATTAAACAATAAGAAAAGTGAAATAATAAATTGTTTCAAGTTACTTTTAATTAAATTATTAATGAGATGAACTTCATAAGTTTTCTTCTTAGTATTTTGGTTAACATCAATAATTTTTATTTGGATTTCTGAGAAAAAGAAACATTTATATAATTGTAATATAATACTGTCAAAAAATGAAATTAATAACATATTCAGTTAATTAACAATAATCATTTTAACGTGTAAATATTTATAACTAAATTGGAAATAGATTAAAAATATTACAGCTAAGGTGAAATAGTTTGAATTTAGGTATTTTTGATTTTCAGTTATTAACTTTTCTGAAGACTGAATAAATAAGTTCACTTTAAGGTAGATGGTTCTTTAATGATTGCTTTAATATACTCTGTACATACAGTTTGGTTATGCTTACTGAGTGCGTCTCTTTGCCGTAAAATTCATTATAATTTCTTGTCTTTCTTTGGAACAGAGTATATAAATGTGAACTTAATAAGTAAATATAGAGTATATTGTTTACATTATTTGTAATGAAATATTCATATACTAATTAATTATTTACATTATTATTATTATTATTATTATCATTTTCTAAATAGGATTTTGTGCATGGAATTGATGCAAGTGGTTTACATGGAGCATATATGGTACTTGATTCAACGTTCGATTTCAATACATTAATTAAACGTTTGCATATACCATTGAATGTTGCAGTTTTGTGTAAATTAGAAGAGAATTTACAACGAATATTAAAACCAGCTAGGTAAAGTATAACTAATCTATTATTATTATTATAAACATCCATTTAATTAATTTATGCATTTGTTTAAAGGGAAAATGCAATTTTATTTATTCGTAATCTACGTTCCTAGTTATAGGTCGATAAATATTTTTTTAACAATCGACTATTAATTTTATATATGTTCACATCATCATCAGCACGAGTTGCATTACTGTCTGGTTGTATAAAAATCCACGTGAAATGTTAGTTTCTAAAGTCAATCATGTTTTTTGTAAAACAACATTCATGAATTTGAAATCTTAAATTACCATCAAGCAATTATTCATAACCATTATTGTCTATTCTGTTTAAAGTTGAATCACACACTACATTGCATTCTTTTAAATCGGAATTTATCAAGTACATTTGTTTGAATAAAGTATTCTCTTTTAAAACTGTGCTTACAACCAAACCAGTGTTTATTTTAACGATGCTAGGGAGTTTGCCACATGAGAATAAAAAATAGATCATGCAGTGATGACATTTATGTCAACCATTATATTTACGAATAAAGGTATAGGATGTTAATTAACAGTGGATTTTCCGACAAATATTTAACTTTATTTATAACTAGTCTCCTGAAAGTGTCTGCTTCCCACTTTTAGTGTTCCTGTTGCGGCTCGAAGTTATCACTCACTATTTTAACAGCTTGGTTGTTATTCATCTAGTCACTTTCTATTTACTAAATATCAGTTGTGATTAAACCTTGTTACTTATACTTGATGATTTCTTTTACAAAATCGTGTCGATCAGCTTTGATTGGGATGTAGCCGTTTTTACAAATATTTTAATAATAATAGTTATTGCTTAGAACTCTGTATAGCCTTATCAAAGCTATATTTACTGATACCTGTAAATAGAATTGAGATCCAGTATGGTAGTATAAATATAAACAAAATTCTGAAAATCAATCTATAACAGGAAGTCAAAAACTGTTTAGAATCTTCGGAATTTATTGTTTCTAAGGTGAAAAAATTTGACAGTGATAAAATCCTCACATTATTCTAAATAAAAAATGAGATATATTTGACCTACATATATGTACATGTTTAATATTCATAGATAACCAACGAGCCGCATATAATTTGTTTTAAATAACAAACTTAGTTTTACAAATCACAATGGCTGATATCAATTTTATACTCTGGGGTTGGAGGGCTGTACTTTTATTGATATCTAAGAAAACGTTCTTTACTTAGTAATATTATTATAAGATAATGAAATCTAATTGCTGATTTATAAAAATAGAACTTGGATATTTTATTGTGCTACGTGATATTTATAAAATTGTGGTTTATCGATTTTTTACTTGAGCAATGCTTCACGACACTTAAATATCTTTGTTTTTAGTATTACAGTTCGAAATTCATCTTTAACGAAAATTCATATAACAAAATATGATTCCATTTTCTGTGAGACTGAAATGAAATTTGTACATTGCTTAGTCAATTGATATCAACTTACCTAATTTATTTTGTTGAATAATAACTATTGGGAATGTCAAAAAGTTGTTTCGATAAACTAAATGAATTAACATTCTAGTATGTTTACTGAAATGTTTATTTAGGTGCTGGTATTTTTTATATTGACTTATATTTTGAACTTTTTAGTACATATTAGGAGTATTTTCAGTTAAAATAATATAATCTTTTCAACAGGTGGTTCTGTAGGGATCGATATAAGTGGGGATAACCGTCTGTATGTAAATCCAAATGTACAAAAAGTCTTGCTAAAATATAAGAACCATACACTGAATACTTCATTTTCGGATTTCCATCACTTGTTCATCACGTTCTGTATTTTTATTTCAGTTTTCGATTCCTTTCTATTTTTCCTTCTATTCTCTTCAGCTCGATCTTGTTAGCCTTCTGCTTCTAGGTTTTTCGCTTCCCATCGGTGATACATACTACTTATGTCTGTCAACATAAGTAGCGTATACCACAGTTCTATTTTAGTGGGGCCCTACCATTGAGTGGCCCGGGATCTGACTCCAATTTGATCGTATGAATCATTGTTATTAAAATATATATGTCGCCTATCTTCGTATATAATCATCGACTTAAATTGCGTTAGTCAATAACGGAATTAAATAAGTCGAATGACGAGAATGGACTTTTGAATACAGCTATTTTGTATGTAGAGCGAATGGAATACAGTGAAGCGAAATGACGCGAAGTGGAGATGGTGGGTAAGCCAACTCCATTTAGTCAAGCGTTAATCAATATTTATAGTCACACAAAAATAAGTTACAGACATATGATCAATAGGATAAGAAATGTTCACACACATATACGTTCATATAAAAACAGTCAAGATTAGTAAGCGAATCAATCATTAATAAGGTCGAAATATGACTCAAGTAGAATGATTAGATTGGCCTGTCCGAAAGCCAGAATAAGGTATACGGGCTTAACATAGTAACTGACACTACACTATGTTAATATGTCCACATATCTAATGTTAAAAAAGGTCACTGTTAAGTTAATGAACAATTCCAGTTATACAGAAACCTAAGTCTACTTTCTACTAAAGAGCTCGAAAAGTTCAGAAGTTTACAAAACATTTTTTTAAAACCATATAACATGAATAAAAGTAAATAATTATAAAAGTCTGACGGGTCAAAATTTGTTTTCACAATAAAGCAATTAATAACACCATATTCACTGGTGCTTTGAGATGAGCTATGTAAAGTTCAAGTAAAAAGCTGTGATTAATCGAGTCAGTCAAGTCAAGAGTGAAATACTTACAGATGATTTATTCAGAAATTTAAATGTAGACTACTGGATTCGACTTTGTTTTCTAAACATATCATGCTCTTTCATACACATAGTTCCCTTTATCATTTTGAAAAGAGCAAGAACAAACATTCTAGCAGAATAGCATGAATTCATGCTATGAACCATGCTCTTTTTGAGGCAAGTAGGTTCTTGGAACTATCCTGTGGAGAGTCATGAGAGTACACTTTGGAGGATTTCCGAACAAAGAAGAAGTAGCAAGTTGTTACCTTTTATTCGTTAGTTTTTGGCAGATTTCAGTTTAAGGTGAAAATAATCTTCGAACTTTTGCGTTCTCCCCACTAAACACAGATGGTATATTTGTATGTTTAGTAGAAAGAGGAAATTAGTAATTACTATCTCTTTCTCCATGACTGAATAATTATATGCAGATGACGCTTACATTTTACATATTCTGTTCATGATGGATTTCACGCCATTTTATTTGTGTGCTAAATTGTTTTTAGAAATATTTGTTAACAAATCAAAATGAATGATTTATTTTCATATTAGTTTCATGTTACAAGTCAATTTACTTGTCTACATGCAATATTCACTTATTAACAAAGATTGGTAAATGCATGTGATTATGTAGACCATAAACTTCAATGCCATTTTAAACATTTTAGTCTATAGCTAGATATCTGACAGTTCAAAATACTAAACTTTTCAAATTTTTTCCCAATGTCGTTTACTGATAACTTAATCTAAAAACAGAATAAAAATTGCATATTTCATTTTATACACTGCATATTTTATAATATGTCAATCAGTTGGATTAACTTCTATTCAATTCAGTAGAAAAACCATGTTAAATCATGTACTGATTAATTCTTATCTACTGAAATTAAATATTGTGGCTCACAATCTAATGTGCCAACTAGACAGACAGACATCAACAAAAAGCCTGGAATTTATGTGGGTTGATCCTAGTTGGCATACCTGTTCAGCATGACAAGATAAAGTAACAAAATTGATCGAAATTATGATGATAAAATAAAGGGATATGCCTTGAGGATGTCGTTTAAAAATATAGAGTGTTAAGGTTTGTATGAAGAAATACTGGAATTAAAGCGGGAGAGAAAGAAAAGTGAATGGATCTGTGTCACTTTGAATGATTAAGAGCCAGTTCACCCAACGTCTTCAACCATTGACTCCAGTTATGACGTGAACTCTAAAAGAGCAGTCTGCATCTACTGACATGGCTGAAACCAACAATCAATGACTTCATTGGCTGATGAGACGTTTTGGTAAGATCTCTCTAGCTTTCTTCAAATATACTTCTACATTGGCAAGCATCACTGATTGAGGTAGGCAGTGGTTAGGCTTTCTTAACACATGTCTTATTCACCTCGACCAATGAAGACTTAGTACTTGATCAACTGACTTGGCCCATTGGTCATGTGCTGTATGCTTAACCTAAATAATACTCGCTTGGTCGTTTCACAGTATACGAGAAATACTTGAAAGACACCTCTGATCATAAACCTAGAGCCTACGTATATCTTCTATTTCGTAGGCTCTCATAGCCATAAATTAGGACAGAACAGACTGATGTGATGCATACACGCCCTCTGGTTGGAATGTGGAGATCTCGTCTATGCCACAAGTAACGCAAGTTGGCAAATGCGAACCAGGCTTTCTATATTCGTGCCAATATTTCATCAGATATCACCCCACAAGAACTGATGCGAATCTCAAGATAAGTAAAGCGGTTAACCTAAAGTTAAGTTTTTTATTTTAATTACATGTAGTGTGTAACACAGAAAACTATAAATGTGTGTCAAAAAGTTTGTAGTTTTACATCATTGACTGCTTTTAGTCAAACAATCGTGAAAATCATTGGAACAATCAGCAGCTTATTTGTTATGGTTTCGAAATCCTCGGTAGAATACATCCACTGCAACGCCAAGGCTCCAACCCTGAACCTTCATTCCTCGAAGTTAATGATATACCCCCAGAACATTACATAACATCTCAGTATCCTAGGGGTAGTTCATCGTAGCTTTGTATGGTAGTCCTAGGTTTTTCCCTCAGTGTGATTGCAGATGGACACTGATAATGACTCCGATCTTGGGACGAGCTAGTACTTTCATGTTTTCAGTAGTTATCTAACGAAAATTATTTCACAATTAAAACTACATATTCGACAACTTCTACAACTTCGTATATTAGTAAATCAGAAAACATTTTTAGAAGTTAAGAATT